TTTTTTTTTATATTCATGCATTTTCTATGATACTTACAACCCAGATTGGGGCGTTTTGTCCTGCCAATGGGGAGCGCCATATGATGTGCTTCTCTGTCGCCAACTCGTGGTACGGAGCCACTTGGAGCATCGGTGACAAACATCAAGTGATTATGTGAGTTATTCTCTTCCTCTAGACGCTTCTCCAGCCTGTGCAATTTATGCCCAATCGATTCCATTGATGAAGTGCTTGTCGTTCTGTTTGGCCCTGCGGATGGTTCTAAAGAAGTTGATAGTGTTATCCTTGCTTCAGTGCTTATAGCGACAGTGGCGGCTGTAGTCACTCTTCCTGGCTGAAGTTGCTGCTCACGGCTGCTACTGCTACTACTGCTATGTTTATACTCCGGTGCGTCGTGCATGCGTCGCGCGTGTATTTTGTCGTGTCTGCGCTATATATCCGCTGCCTCTGCCACTCCTCCGCGTATGTGTGACACTGCGTGAACACTTTTGTATGTGTGCGTATGAATTTTGTGCACTCGAAAATTTTCACTGCGAAAATTTCTGTCGCCAAATCCTTTTGCACCGCACTTGGTTCGCTGCGAACAATCAATTGCACATTTGAGCACAATTCTCTTTCTGTGCTGCAATACACTTGTTTTCTTTTTAATTGAATTATCACACAAATAACAAATAAAAAAGAAATGAACTCGACTCTTTCACTACTTTACAGAACACAGCAGAAAAAATACTGAAGAAGTTGCAAGAAAACTCAACAACGAATAGGAAATTCAAAACGGAACTACAAATATCAACAACGAATGTCAAGTGAAGGCAAGTTCGTGAAATGTCATCGGGCTGGAATTCATTGGAATGCACTACCGGAAGTCATTGGAATGGATTACCAGAAGTACAGGGTGGGTTGAAAATCAAAACGGATTACACAGGGTTGCATGCCAAACAATTTGTGGGAAGTATGCTGTGGCTCATGTGGAATGTGAGGTAGAAACACATGAAAAGTTCTTAAATCGAAATATCATTAAAAGCAATAAAATAACCACAAAATTCGACAAAAATAATTCTTTGTCTCTCTAAACCCTGGAAATTTACTCATTCCTCAATTGTAGGGTTACCAACTTTTCTTAACGAAAATCCAGGACGCAAGTTTTCTTCAGAAAAGTTGAACTTGACGGATATGATATGGCGCATATTTTCGAGAGATAATCGATTTCTCTCTTTCGTCCATTGCGAAGACATAACGTCGGCTGGGTAAAATATTGTCGTAAGCGCAATTTTGACGATTTTTAGTTTTAGATGCAGTTATATATTTTGAAATAAGGCCTTTCGATTGGTGTTATCAGTTTTTAGACATCTCCTTTAGTTTCCGAGATATTGACTACAATTTTTTCGATAATTTAGTAAAAATTTAGTTAGTAATGCAGTCACATTAAGCTAATCAATATCTTACAATTTACGTTCTCCATTTTCGGATATCTCCTTTAGTTTCCGAGATATTGAGTTAAAAGTGTCGTTAATTTAGTGGAAATTTTGATCACATTTTGTCGTACTTCATACAAAGTGGCGTTTCAAATTTACAACTTGATCATGCAGTTTTAGGTCATTGATATCAACTTTTTTTTTGTAACAAATACGAAACACTTTGTTCTATATCTTTGTACTGCAAATTTTGATTTTTTTTCAATCTAGCCATTTAAAAATTTTAAATTCCGAAAAACTCTCAACCTAGCGTTCTATGTATTCCAAAATTTCGTGATATACTATTCCAACTCTTGCAATGAAATCATAACAGATTTGTTCTTTTCCTTCTTTCTTCAATCTTGACAAAATAGACTGAGCCGCGAGTGGAATAAAATTTTACTCAATTCGCTCCTGAATTTGTGTTCATTTCTAGAACACTGTTATTTTTTTCACCTGCAATATCATTTTAGGATGAAAACATAAACTCGCACATTATTAATGAAAATGGGAATATTTAGGTCATAAACCAGGACGCTTCCCAAAAGTGCCAAAATCCAGGACATGTCCCCGAAACCCAGGAGGGTTGGTAACCCTACTAAATTGTGTGTAAACTGCGTAGAAGAAGCAGTTTTTTTGTAAAAGTGGGTAACTCTGTAAATTTTGGTGTGCTGACTCAGTAACTCCAACTCACTTTAATGAGTCAGCACAGAGAGCTGGCACAAGTGTGCTATCGCACAATTGGTATGTGCATCGAAATTATTGACGATGTTAGTAATCGAAATCGATTTAGAAAAGGTTATCCTTAGCTTCTATTCGTAGCTGGCCGGCAAAATTTTAGAAAGCTGATTTCAACTGGTGAGTTCATTTGCGAATAAATTCCCTACTTAGTTTTGCTTGAGAGTTGTCACATAAGAATCTGTTAAATGGGCTATGCATGTAAGCGGTTACCCAACGCACAGCACTTCACATGTAGAATTCTGTTTGGTTTTGACTTTTACGTAAAAAGGGTATAGCAGTGCATGTATGCATAACTGGGCTATTCGCCTTGCTTCTTGTTAAATTTGGTAGTCGTATATTCAACTGATGGTAAGTCTCGTGACGCCATCTATTATGGAACTTTTTGGAAGATCGTATTGTGTGAATGTGTCAGCTCATCAATTGAGTTACCACATCGACACAGTTCGAAACAATGCAGCCGAACCGAGCTATGCAAGTGTCAGCACATCAACTGAGTTACCATATCGACACTGAAGCACACTGAGCTATACATTGTCAGCACATAAACTGAGTTACTGAGTTACAAATTTTTTCAGAGGTGAGCCTGAGCGTGCGGCACATTTCTAAGAGTCAGCACAGTAACTCAGCACAGTGCTGAGTTACCCACCTCTACTTTTTTGTTATTTATTTACATTTTACAAACATTTGTTTTCACCATGTCGGACGCGTATGATTTTGTGGCTAAAGGTAAATTAAAACTTAAAAATGACCACGAAACCAAGAAAAAGAAGAAAAGTAAACACAAACATAGAGATAAGGACAAGGAGCGTCAGAAGCAATCAATACAAGGTAGCATAAATGAGTCTTTGGAGGAAAAGATTACCAACAGCTCCGCACCAAAGTTGACCAAGGCAGAACTAGCGTTCAAGCAGCAGCAGGAAAAAATGGTGAGCTGTTAGAAAGAAATGTTAGACATATCCCAACACTTGAAATTTTGCAGCGCAACAAACGCATAATGGAAAGGGCGTCCACCACACATAAGGAGCGCGTGGAAAAATTCAATGAACATTTGGATACACTAACGGAGCACTTTGATATTCCAAAAGTTTCCTGGACGAAGTAGTGCCACATTTGTGCCCCTCGTGTGCCCAATTTAGTAAAGAACAACAAATTTTCAAATCACATGTATTTTTATTTGAGAGTTAAAATAAAATCCGGCACATTGCATATTTTGCTATTTAAAACATCTTAAATTTGCTATTTTACAACTACTTATAAGTCATTAATTTCCTATAATTAAACAAGTAGGCTTTAGCGCATATCCCGCCGCCGTAAGCATATCGGTATGTGCTTTGGAATTTCATATCACGTTGCGTAACAAGATACTTATCATTAACAATAATTACATTCCAGCGCCGCCACTTCAGCTTTTACCAAACAAAATTGATTTAACGGTTTCGACAAGCGGAAATTTGGTTTTATAGGCGCGTGGACAATAGCCCTTTATATCATCCGTGTTCAATGAAAATATCATAGCGCCACCAAGTTGGTGATTTTTTACATAGAGCGCTTTACATGCAATGCTTGTTTCGTTTTCGTAAGAAATCCATTCGCTGCCACTGCTTAGGTAAGGTGAGCAGGTAGACTGGTCGTATGCTTGATGAACTAATATGTTATGTGTGTTGAACCAGCACAGCTCCGAGTAGGAAGTAAACCCCAAACTGCCACAGTGCCCTATACCTTCGGCGGGCGCGTTAATGCCATGATTAAGAGAGCTTACCAAACTATAATATGTATACAAATTTTTTATTTAGGTTTAATACTTAGAGAAAAATTTTTAGCTTACGTGAAAGAATGTCCATAAGTTGGCAGACCCACGACTAATTTCTTGCGGTCCAAGCCGTTGTTCAGCCACCAGTTAACTGAATAATTGATATTTAATGTGCCAAGTAATGAGCCCTCATTCGGACGCGCATACAAAGGTGCATTCAAACCTTAACATATAAAATGTTATGTATAATTCAGAAGATAATTAAGTATGTGCTTACTCACCTGTAAATGGTGTACCGTGCGAGTAAAAATGATAATCATATGTCATCAAACTCACATAGTCTACGTACTGGTTTAGCATTTGCACATCATAGGCGAATACAGCGATACCTTCGGGCGCTGCTGCGGCCACGGTCAGCAAGTAGTCGCGTCGTTCGCGCCTGTATTCTTGACGTATTTCATATATCAATTGTGAAAAATGCTGACGCTCCTTATAGTATGCGCTGGGGAATTCCCAATCCAAATCAATACCATCCAGCTTATACATAGCCAAGGTTTGCTTCACGGAGTGTACAAATACTTTGCGTGTCGTATGATTCTTAACCATAGCTGGAAAGCCATCGCTGTTGGCGCCACCACCCACCCATAGCAATAGCTTTAAGGCGGGATTAATTGTGCGCAGCACCGTCACATCCTGCGACAGTATACGACGCATATTGTCAGTGATAATCAATTGGCCATTACGTACACCAACCATGCCCACATTGATGTGTGTACAAAGTTCGGCATTTACATTTGCTAAACGCAAGTCATCGAGTTCATTGTCTGGATCGGGAACTGAATAATAACACACTAAACGGACTTCTGGCGCAGTGCTCATGGTGGGTGGCGCATTCTTGACCAACTGTGGTGCGCTGGGTTTAACCTTTTGCGCCTGCTGCTGTTGCTGCAGAGTACCCAAGCCATTTAATCCACTATCTGCAGAGTAGGAAGGGTGTAATTTTACACGCGCTGTCTGATTTTTCATCAAACGAAAATCGTGTGAAAGCGTACTTTCATGAACGCTATTGGCATAGAGGCTGGCACGTCGAAACCAGAAATCGGGCACGGCTGCAGGTGTGAATTGGGTGAGTTATGCGAACGTGAATTTACATAAATTACATACCTTGCACGTCTGGTGGATAATAGATGGTATCATAGGCGGAATTCCATAACAGGAAGACAAATATGGTGGTAAGCATATAAAGTGCCATTAGTGCTGCAATGCGCCACCAGGATTGCGATTGCGAGGGCTCGTTCATCAATTCGTAGTCCGCCATTGTTTAGCGAGTGTTGTGTTCAATTTAACACTTGATATAAATGATTCAATTACTATTGTTTGTAAATTTTATTATTGACTTAACATTATCAGCTGGTTAAATGGCATACGAAGAAATTACGAAGTAAACAAAAGGGTTTTAAAACAGTGCTGCCGTTTAGTACAAATGTTCCAAATAGATACGATTTTGCCCATGAACCAAAATTACAAGATACGTAAGAACGCGACGTTGTATTTGTAACTGGTTTTGAGAAAAAAATTCGTGGAGGCGGGTTCGTCAGCTGAGCATTTGTTTACATCACAAGCACCACTATTTCTTTATCTAAAGAAGATTTAATTCAAATTGACAACACATTTTACCGCATTTTTATTAATAATTTTACCTACATTGTGTATTTAAAGTGGCTGACAACAATTTTGGTTAATTATGGTTTTCGTGGTTTTCTTTGCTTTCTTTACTTTTCGCTTGTTTTCCAAAATCGACGTGATCTTGTGTCGTTCGTTCATGGATTTTGCCAAAGAACGTAAATAGACAGAGAGGTGATAGATTACGTTCTATGGTTTTGGGTAAATTTTGAAGGATACTTCTTGTTTAACTCAGCTTGAATCGGATTCTATTTTATATATATTCTTTTATCTCGTTTTATTATAATGGCTCATGCACATATTTTTTTTTTAATTTGTTGTGAAAACTTTAATAAAATCATTTGATAAATTCTCGAATGAAAAGGAACGTAAATCTAAAACGTTAACGCAAAGAACGAGAATAGGTTCAATGATTTTCATTGTTTCGGCAACCCAGTCTGAATCCATTACTCGCCACTTTCGAGCCAACGAGTGCTCAGGCGGTAAACAAATTCGATTAGGGCTACCAACTTCGCGTCTAGTAATTGTAAACAATATTAAATTGAGCTTTAAACCAAGCTTGTGCTTGGTAGACCGCGAGATATTCATAAATTAAAAAATAACAATGATTTTCAGCATACGGGATAGAGTCGTGAGTTAATTTATCAACTAAAACCAACACATTCGATTGATTCGTTGGCACTGGCAGCCCTATTGGAAATTTCCCCGCATTCGCGTTCGTTGGCTGTTGCGAGAGGTTTGTTTTTGTGTATACGGAGCGCGTCGATTATTTTAATTGACATTTTTTATACAGTTTGTGAAATGCGGCAAGTTTAATGTAATTTCCAGTGGTAAATTAAGTGCAGCATAAATACACATTTTTAAAATAGTGCGGTTTATGTATAATTTCCATAAAAACTGCTAAATTGAAAGAACCAGAACGGTGTGTGTGTATGTGCCATCAAATGCATTTTAAGCTTGATTTGAAATATTTGTAAGGTTCAGACGTGTCTGGCCCCCTTTTTGGCTGCGTACATATACTGTTTAACAATTGATACACAATCTCCGCACAATATCCAACCAGAGCGACGCAGGCTGCAACTGCACAGTTTTTATATTTATGTATATATAGATATAGATGTGTATAAAAAAGCATCGAATCTTACAAGCACCTACTCAGCAACACATCAAGTACGTTTCAAGAGGCTTTGCGTCGCCGCCCAACCACTTCGCTTTGTATCACTCAATTGCATATACAAAACAAGTAGTGCTAGCTTGCGTGCTACCCTCGCCTGCTCCACCACCCACTACCCTCCACTGTACCTGTGTTTTCGCGTATGTACACCTGCCCCGCCCTGTTCAACAATTCGATCCTTTTCTCTACCCCAATCCCCAATCCTTGTATACCATTTTTACTTTTCATTTAATTTTGTCTGCCCCTCTACATTTCCGCCTCAGTGCCCCATTCACTTCCGCAAACTTAACGCTACAGTGGCTGTTGCCATCCGATGTTGTCATTTTTCGCTATATACTTTTCTTATCACATCCAATTTGCATTCGCATATAAACTCAGTGTACGAGAAAATCCAATTTCCATAGCTGTTTTTCTGTTTCCTGCTTCCATCATCATCCTTTATGTCTACCATGTCTAAACAACAAACAATACAGTGAACCGGCGGGCAGGCAGCCAGGCAAAAATCGATAAAGACGCTGCTGCTGTTTGTTGTCATTTGCCGAGCTACTCCAGCGAAGCCAGGCTACTTGGCAGCTGTGGTTGTTGCTGTTGCTGAGGCGACATTTTTTTTTTGTATTTTGATGGTTGATTTCCTTCCTTGTATCGGTGGTGGTGGCGGTTGTTTGTTGGTTGGTCGGCCGGTTTGGACAATTCGTTTATTTGGCGCGCTTGAACGCAGGAGTGCAATCGCAACGAACGTAGCACTTGGTTGTCTGTGTAACTTAATTCAATGTACTATAGGTAAATTTTAAAATTTTCTTATATTAAATAAACAGGTTTATTAATATTTTTTGTGCTAAAAAAATAGAAAAAATAAATAGCCTAGACGCCACGTAGGTAATTGTTTGTATTGTTTATGTCAATCAAAGAACCTTATCTCAAGGAAATGTGCTGCAAATTCGTCATGTAGTCGCTCCACTTTAGTTGGGATAGGATGCTACTTCTCCAATAGGATAGCTTCAAGCTTCACTTTCTGATGGCTCCTAAATACCAGCTATGTATAACTTCTATCTGAATGTCACTAAACCAGCCTCCAGCTCCTACATAATTGCTAACAAAAATTAATGCAATTATCCATGCATACATATGTAGGTGTAGCTACATAAGTATACGTAGTCATCGACGCCCCAAAATTAATGTACCGAACTTTCAAGTCGACACTGTAATTATCACTCGCTCGCCCGCCCATTTCCTCATATCCCACCATAACTGACTGAATTTCACTGTCTGCATTTATATATATGCATATGTACATATGCTGTTAAATTTTTCATTTGCTGGTGCACTTTTCCATTTCCACCCCAAAATTGGGAAAAAACATATGCTATGCTGGCTAGGCCACCAACAACAAATTGCGGAGAGTAAATACACACATAGATACACGACTTTGTATATATATAATTCATATTTACAAACATACATATGTATGTATGGTTCCATGAATTAAACGAAAGGTAGACTTGCAACTGCACCGACACGCACCTTCATGCATGTACATATGTATGTAGCACATAACAGTGGGGCAGAGTGTGCGCAATGACACTTGCACTTGTCGAGAGTTGATGTTGTTGTTTCGCGCAGGTGGTGGCTACAGTGGTGAGTGCAGTGTGACAACGAGTTTGTCTTCTGTACATTCGCTGTTGCGTGTGGCTCCAAGTTGCTATCGACTGACTGGAGTTGGACGTTGTTGCAGTTTCCAACTGGTCGACATTCATAGCGCGCTCGCGAAACTAAGTGCATATACCTAAACGCAGTGGTAGAGAGCGTTTTAAATGTTGCAAGAAATAACAGCAAAAAGTGTGAAAAGTGTAGATAAGGAGAAAATGCAATGACAGCAACACGAACAGTAGTTAATAATAGTTAAAGGCGGTCATTGCCATATTTAGCCTACAGGTTGTTTGTCATTTTATTGCGTTTGGCAAAGGAGAAGGTGGATATTGTGTAGGGATTGGCAAGCCAATTTTGCAATAAGAAAAAATTCTACTAAATCATATTAATAAGATTACCAATAAAAGAGAAAAATTAAATGTACAAAAAATTAAAACCAAATTTGTGAAAAAATTTTTTAGTTAATAAAAAATAATTTTTAAAATTCATAAAAAAAACAATCATAATACAGACGTACTCGACTGCGGCAAGGAAATCGGGATTTCCAAAATAACCCAGCCCCCTGCTGAATAAAAAAAAAATTATAAATAAATTATAAAATGATTTTGTTTGCAACTTATGGTAATTTATTTGTTTTTAATAATAATTTTAACTTAAAACATAACTCAATCTATAACAGAAACCACTTATATAAAAGTTTCAAAGCTTACACAAATTTCAAAAATTTAATCAAACTTCAAAAAAATGTTCATCAAAATTTTTAATTAGAATATTTAGTTTATTTTCGGTTATGTAGTTTTGTAGCCCATTCAATTTTAGTCTAATAAATTGCAAGTTTCGAGTCGTTAGAAATTACCGTTGATTTTTTAGAATTTTGTGGACGGTGTTGCAAATTTTCTTCCATATAACGCATAATCAAAAACTAAGTATTTTTATATGAAAAAACTCCGCAACATCCTCCACAAAAAAAAAACATAAAATAAAAATAGTTCTAAAATGTAATGTTTAGCGACTTCAAACTTGCACTTTATCAGATCAAAACTGCACACCCGAAAATTATCTAAATACTCTAATTAAAAATTTTGATATCTTAAAGAACATTTTTTAAGTTTGATAATTTTTTTTGTAGATTAATATAAATAAACATAAGTTGCAAACAAAATCATTTTGAATTTCGAAGCTAATTATATAAAAAAATACATGACCCCTGGCGAAAATGTAAATAGTTTCTTTATTTAAAATATATAAATTTTTTTTGCTATCTTACTATCTAAAAACACCATGTAAATCAAAATTTGATTTGATTTTTGGCAATTTTTCGTTCAGGTTCCTTCTTCTATACAATGTAGTATGAATGTACGAAATTTTTTGTATGGAGAAATTGAGCAACAACTTCCACGAAAAAAGCCAAAAATCAACAGTAAGTCATAGCTACTTCGAACTAAAAGAAAAAAATTAAAAGAAATTAAAGTGAAAATTTAATGGGCTACAAAATGACATTCTCAGGTTGTTTATAAAAATATTAAAAACTCAAAATTTTGTGGAAGTTTTGTCGAATTTTCCAAATTTTTGTACACAGTTTAAAATTTAATTTACATGGTTTTTGCTAGATAACGAGCTACCCTTTCGAAAATGATTAATATAAAAATGTGTAAAAACCAAAAAAATTAATACAAATATAAACATATAAAAAGGAAATATATAAAAAATAAAGGTATACAAAACAAAAATAAAAAAAATATATATAAAAAAAATAAAAATAAACCTTAAATTAAAATTTAAATAAAGTAGCTAGAATTAAAAAATAAGAAAAAAACAATAAAAAAAATAGAAAAAAATAAAATACATAAATAAAATTAAATAATATAAAATAAAAAGTATAAAGTAAAAAAATTTAAAAATGAATATATAATAAGGAAAATAGGTGGTAAAAAATAGATTATTTATTATCTACATATATAAAAAATATAGAGGAAATATAATATAGAAAAAATGGTTAAACACATATATATATAAAATAACAAATCTTCGCATTAACAGTAGAGACAAAAAAATAAAATAAAATAAAAAAAACATAAAAACCTACATACATATGTATATATATATACATTTTTGTAGTCCAAAAAAAATTTTGTAATTAAAAAATTAAATATCTAAATTAGAAAAATCACCCTTTAACTAAAATATGATGTATGTATTTCCAGTTGTGATTTTACAAATTCCAAGCCCAAACAAAAATAAATAAAATAAAATAAAAATTTCTAGTGAGCGCACCGCGCGGCTTGTTAAAGTGTGAAACAAGCATAACTACACAAATATATATACATATATACATTATAAAAAGTGTAGCGAACTAAAAATTGGGCACAATCAACGTGTCATAGCGGGTCGCTGAAGGAAGCCCACAAGCAACGAAAGCGCCATGAAAAACAGGTGCTAATGCAAATAAGAACAAATCCAATTAGAAAAATATTTATGCGTTAAAGAGACAAGCCTCGAGCGCGAACCTATTTGGCCCACCCACTGGGCGCCATACAAAAGCACGCGCGGGTCAACACCGACACAGCGCGCTTAGCTTAACAAGCGTACGCGACATTAGTGGCCCAAACGATTTAAAAAAAATAAGCAGAAAACAGAAAATAAAATTGCGCACAACGCAGCCCCGCTGCCGACTCACAGCCGTTTTTAGCAGCGCGCACGAAGTGCACAACGACGGGCGAGTGAACCATTTGCAACGCCAACAGCACCACCAGTTTGTCAGTATCTCTCCAGCGTTCAGTGCGCGTTCGGGCCAAGCGTGAAACGCATCGCTGCGTCAACTGTGAGCTAAGTAGTGAATCAGTGAGCGCTCATATTTGTTTAATAAAAATTTCATTGAAATTTACATAAAATACTGCTAAAAAGGCATTCAATTAAACAAACAAAAAATTAAATAGCGCAGAATTCAGCATTAATAAAATTACCAGCGAAAACCGCCAAGAGTGCAAAACGAAATTTTCTCTGCGCGCACCTGCCGCGCGACCTCCTTTTCTCAAACATACTAAACGCGCGCGCGCCTCCCCTCCGCTTGTAGTTATGGCCGCCACACCGTTGACCCTGATGGATGGCAGCATCGCATCAACCACGGTTACAGCAGATGCCACTTTGGCAACAGCAGTAGCTTTGGATAGTAGCAGCAGCAACCAAAGTGGTGTTGCAACTCAACCTGCCGTGAGACCAACAATGCTATTTGGTTCTACTGAGCGTTTAGACACATCCGCTGCCGTCACGAATGTGCTCATCTCACCAAATGGCAGTTGCAGCGGCAGCGGTAATTCCGCCGCCACATCGCCATCATTTCTGCCGGAGATGCCACAATGGAAAAAAGACTTAATACAACGCCGCAAATCGAATGTGGCACGTACGATTGGTGCTGCAACAGCAGCAGCAGTGATGTCGCCGATATCCGCGGCAGCACAACAACAGCGTAGTGGTGGTCAACAGCATTCTCCAACAACGACAAACACAACAACAACAACAGCTGCAGGTGAGTTCGCTTATGATTTGGTTGTAATGTATGAAAAAATCGACAAAAAAATATTAAAAACGAAACGAAGTATGCAACTTGGTCAGCCGCAATTGTTGCTGATATTACAAATTCAATTAGCGCGTTTTTGTTTGTTTGTTGCACATATTTTCGTGTCCATAACTTCGTTGATTGGCTGTTGGCGTCTTTATTATTGGTACACATTTTTGAGTTTTTTTTTTGTTCTTAATCAGGTTTCGCTGCCAAGCCGCAAACATTTTTTCGCGGTTATTTGTTGAATTTTCGTTACGGATTTGCTGGCGTACTAAATGATGGATCAAAATTCTTCACTCTTTTCTCGCCTGCTCGATATGATGTTGTATTCAATAAATACTTACATGGGTGCTCGGTCATCCCACAATCGCCATCTTCGTTCAAGAACTATTCAAATTTTTTTTTCATACAAACAAAGTTCCTTCCGCGGAAGTTAATCTCACTTTGTACTACACGAATTAATTAGTTCAACCTTCGCCTGCTTGAAGGGCTACCGAACAATAGATAAAAAAAGTTGCCACCTTGTAGATCCCTCCAGTTATACAACCGCTATTAGACTTTTGACAGATTTGTAAATCTGTAATCAGCATGAGAAACCAGTATTTAAAATAAAACAAATAAATATATTAAAAGAATAAAAAAAAACAAAAAATAAAAACTAAAAATTTAAAAAGTAAAAAATAAACAAACAAAATAAAACAAGAAAAAATACAAGGAAATGAAAAACATAGAACAAAGACATGAATTAAAAACAAACAAAAAAATGAGATAAATGCAAATAAATAAATTTTAACCAAAAATTAAATTAATAAAACAAACAATTTAAAAAATAAGGATTTCAAAAAATAATAAGAAATTAGATAACAAAAATATGCAGAAGATAAAAATAAGAAAAAACCCTATAAACATTTTGGCGAACGTTCGAAAATCCAATATGAATATCGAACTGAGAACGAACTCAAACCCAACCTTAGTTTCCCAACGTTCATAGTGTATTGGAAATACATTCGAGTTGGGTTAGAAAAAAATTAAAACCATAGTAACAAGAGAGGAAGTGAAATCCAGCTCATTTTCGAATAGAAATTTAATACAATCACTCACTCTCATCAAACTTTCAATTCGATAATGGGCTAGATTTCGAATTCATATCGAAGGAAAAATTCATTAGATAACGAAGGTTCCGTTTTGCTGGAGAATGGCCTAGTTCTCGAATCGAATGCTAACCTATTCCACATTCGTTATCGAAGGTGAGACTTGAAAAAAATGTTAGTTTTCCAATCATTTTCGAATTGTTAACCAAGCCCAATGTTTATTGGGAATAAATTTTAAATTAAAAATACAAACAAAATTAAATAAATAAATTAAAAATAAGAAGAGAAGAAAAAATTTATAAAATAAAACAAAGCACAAAAAAAAATAATTTAAAAAAAGCAAAATTACAAAATTCAAAAGTAGATATAAATAAATTGGAAAAAAGTAAAAGTAAGAAAAACACATACAAAGAAAAGATTTTAGGAATAAAAAAAGTGTTACGAAAAAATTTATAAGTATTACCATTAGGGCAAGTCAATTATTTTGACTATGCGCGTATAGCATAGGAGGATTCTACGTGTCATTCTAAGCTAAATAATTTGCTGAAGAAACCATGGTTCTAAAATCAATTTGGAGTTTGCCAAATTTCGAAAATAGGTTGCTAAAAAAAATGTGAAAATTTTCACTGTTGCGCGCCCTCTGGTGGAGGTTTTAAGAAAAAGATAATTGCAGAAATGGATTCCTCTTACCAAAAAACCGCTTATTGCATGTTTTTGTACAAAATTTAGACACTACAGCAAAATGCTAAGAAACCTTTTTTCCCAATTTGGCAACCTTCAAATTGATTTTAGACCCATGGTTTCTTTGGCAAATTTGCTTGGAATTACACGTAGAATCTGGCTGTGCTATACGCTCATAGTCGGAAAATTCTCCCATACAAATTGACCCGTCCTAATCACCATACAACATTAATTTATCATTCATATATCAAGGTTTTCTGGTAAAAAAAATTTCCCGGTGTCCAAATACAGCTAGAAAAATAATAAATAAATAAAAATAAAAATAAAAAATTTTATTTAAGAAATGTTTCGATCGAAATTTATGATTTCATAAATAGTTCCTACGTGGCGTATGAGTACCTACCATTCTTAGCTGACATAAAAACGAAATTATTACGCATTTTCATTTGACATTTACATTTACAACGTTATTTATCAATTAATTTTCTTCGTTAATAAGCAACAATATAGTACGGGCTTAAACACAAATCAAAAGAATTTACAAAAATCTTGTTTCCCTGTTAAAATTTGCATTTTTTTTCAATCGCAGTGCAAGCTTAAAATAAAAATATCTTGCGAAAATTACCTGATCTAGGAAAACGGTATACAGTGCGGTAATCTTCGAGCCAAAATTAAGTTTACGTGTTTCGGCGTTTTTTTATCATTTTGGCGTCCTTACAGTGTTATTATTGAGATAAATTTTTTCACTTAAGAATAACGATTATACACAAAAATGTAGCGACACCCTAATAAAATGAATAAGTTAATACCTTTTTAGGCGATTTGTAACTTCACCAAAATGTTTTTAAACTAATAGAACACATATATATTATTGGCTGTTATTATACCTAAAAATCTTTTAAATCCGTTTTAACCGTTATTTTAGATTGAAAAAATTAAAAACATTAAAGCGCTTAACACGGCTTGTGAATCCCCCCAATTATTGCTGTGGATCGAAAAGTAAATTTCAATAATAATGAAAGCTAAACACCTTCAACAAAAATATTCTCAAAAATAAGCGCGGTTTTTCACTAACTTTAAACTTTTATTTTTTTAAAATCTGAGCGAGTTTTGCAAAAAGTTTAGAAATTGTATTTTTATGTTGTTTGTTGTAAAATGAACCATATTTTTATAAAAAAAAATAACTTAAAAAAAAAAAAATTTGAATAAAAAATATTGCATACATATATATGGTGAAAAATTCTCGTGTGCTAATTCTTTTTGGCGGCAGTGTACATTCACTGCTTCTTTACAATATATGCAACAATTTTTATTGAAATAGTTTTCCGAAAATTTTGTATAAAAATATGGTTCATTTCACAACAAAAAACATAAAAATATAATTTCTAAACTTTGTGCAAAACTCGCGAAAATTCAGCCAATTTTCATGCAAATTTTAAACTTATTAATCAGATTTTTTGAGTATGCTGATTTGTATATTGTAAAAAAGCAGCTGTGCCAATACTTTTTGCCGGCAGTGTACATTTGTTTGTACATACAGTCAGTCAATAAAGTTTAGGTACAGCGAATTTTTTACAATACGGGCAACTATTTTTTTAATATTTTATTTTTCGATAATTTTTTTTGGAAAAATTTGAGTATGCAGTTTTTTAGCCCATTCAATTTTAGTATAACAAAGTGCAAGTTTGAGGTAGCTGGGACTTATCATTGTTTTATAGCAATTTTTTTGTTGAAGGTGTCGCTCATTTTCTCCATATAAAATAATGTTTGATAAATTTTTTATATGGAAAAAATGTGCGACACCTTCAACAAAAAAATTCCCCAAAAATCAATGGTAAGTCCTAGCTTCCTCATATTTGCACCTTATTATACTAAAATTGAATGGGCTAAAAAACTGCATACTCAACTTTTTTCTAGAGAGCGTAAATAAAAAGTGCAATATTTGAATGAAATTTTGCAGAATTTTCTTTAATTTTGCACAAGGTTTGGAACTTTGAATTTTGGGGTTTTTGTTGTAGAATTAAACATATTTTTATAAAAAATTCGCGAAAAATAAAATATTTAAAAAACAGTTGCCCATATTGTAAAAAATTCGCTGTACCCAAACTTTATTGACTATAGACTGTACATAAGTATAAAAGTAGATAAAAAAAATTTAATTTCAAAAAATTGGTGTCAACCGCAACAGTCCTGCTTTAAGCCATAGATCATCAATTTAGCATTTTTCTCATGCCTTTTCCAGCTAGTAACTTTCTTGCAAAATCCTTCACAGCTTTACAGAGAAGAAACAATTTCTGCAAGAACATCAAACGTTATCTCGGAAAATGATTAAGAACTCCATTTGTCGCTTTTCGGTCAAGCAAGAAACAACAACCTTTCACTATCTTCGTGCCGCATCTGTAATTGTCACAAAGCTGCAGTCAGTCATCAAACAGCTTCAGTATTTATTTCGTCTTAATTGATTTCCAACCTACTTACATTCATGTAGTATAGTAGTGTTGTAAAAATCATCATCGTAGCCCCAATTCGTAGCGGCTATTAAAGCATTCTGCCACAAAGAAATATTTTTCCGTGCATAAGTGATGTACAGACGTATGCAAGTACTTACATACATATGTATCCAAAAGTGTGGCGCCAATTGCGCCGCTTACTTTTTTGCTTGATGACCTAATTACTAGATTATTAACCGCTTTTGTGAATTTTTGTGTGCGATTGTCTACAATTGTAGTTAGACTACTCTTTCGCCTTTTGTTCTAACTACAATAATGCTTTCTTAATCAGTCGCCTGTTCAATTGCGAAACGCTTAACTTCTTTATCTTTAATTGTGGACTTTCGCAGCTACTTTCAGATATCGCAGCTTTTCCCCAGCGCTAGTGTATATAAATGTATAAATTCTTTAGCTGCTGTTTTTTTTTGTTTTGTTTTTTATTTTTTTTATTTTATTACTGGGAAGTTTGTTTTCTCTATATGCGCTTTCGCTAAGCCGATAACTTAGCATTTTACAACATCGCTGAGCTTTGTATCTACATATTTCTATTTATTGTTGTTAGTGTTGTTTTCCGACGCTTTTTGCGTAATCGCACGCACACCTGTTAATTGAATTGAAAAAATGTCTTTGGCCTCCCTTTATTTCGCCGGCTTTTGTTGCCATTGTTTTTTTTTTTTTTTTATCCGCCTTTGCTTGCTTATCCAAG